AAAAGATATGTGTAATACCATAACAAAATCCCTGAAAATGTGTTTATATTATGCTTGTACTTTTGAACACTTAAAGCAAATAAGATAAGATGTGTTCAGTGAGATTTTGTCACACTGGATAGAGCCACTGTAGCATTTTCCACATTTTTAAGTCTTTGTGGTAAGCTTAGAAAACCAGCTGTCGGTGGTAACTTTGGAATTTCTCCATGAATCTCCTCATCTAGCTGGATAAGACACTGAAAATTCCAAAGTATTGCTTTAATGTTAACCCCATTTTTATTTTTCCAAGGTTTTGACGCTGCCTGCCATGTTTCTGTACGTAGGTGTGCGCGTAAAATGTCAACACAATATGTCAGCCTACACTGCATATCTCTGGAATTTGTCTCATAGTGGGCCAAACGACTGCTAACTGTTATTAATCAGTTAGGGAGCAATGTAAACTCAGTGACATCGACAGATGGATTAACAGGAGCTTTTGACACAAATTACCGACAGTGTCTTTTGGAGCAGTCAGTGTGATATAGAGCAGGTTAACAGGTTAACTGATAGTTCTTCCACAATGAACAACACATCTGGAAAAAGCACTAGTGTTCCAACTCACACTTTGGGTCATTTCTGACAGTGACTAATATACACAACTTGTCACTGTGTTTGTTCATTGGGTGCAACTGAAGCACAGTGACCCTGATAGCGCTGAAGGTTCACCTCCCATCTAGTCCCCTTTGATAAGTAAAGCCCCAATTTAGACAACGGTGTGGCGTTGATTTGAAGAGTGCCTGATATTTATAGGTGGCAAAAATGTAGGAAACAGCTAAAACAGCTATTTACTAGAGGAAAGAGGCAAGCCCGAAGATACACACATAGTATGACTCAGACTCTTAAATGCATGATGTGGATGTGGCATTTGGTCTCAATTAATTTGTTTTCAGTGTTTTTGTCTTTGTATATCAAACAACAGTGGTTGTGCAATTAAAGGAGGGGTTTAAACATAAGAGTTGTGTTTTACTGGTCGCTGACAAAAACCCCATGAGGACGGTTTTCAGGAACTCTTACTGCTTTTCAGCCATTTCAAAGCAGACAGTCAGAAAGTGCTTCTTCTTCGTAGCAACACATGGTGGTCCTGCCCTGAAGCAAGCCTGGGATTACTGATTCAATTAAGGTGTCCCTATTCATATTTCATAAACACTGAGGTTCGTGGATAGATGTCCACAGTCATACACACCAAGGAGCAACGATTTTATGCTGAGGGCTTTTCTTTGAGCAAGACATCTTGTGCATTTTGATGCAGTGCACGGCACTGCCCTGCTGCTTTTCCGCGCATCCCCCTCTGTTTTCGTTTTGCTGCTGACGGAAATGTGTCTGCCATTTCTGTATGCGCTTAAATCACCCACCAGTGAGGTAGAAAAAACAGCAGTAAGTACATGTTGAAGGCAGATGTTTAGTCTGTGCCTCTCACCATTATTATTATATGTATCTGTCAGCCAAAAGCAATCATGGTTAAACATATTTAAAACCAATGGTCAAGACAGAGAGTATTAATTTTTTTTTTTTCTCAAACGGCCTCATTTAGCCTCATTTTAAACTCGGAGTCATTTAACTGTACAACGCATTAAACTTTGACTTCACAAACCCATGTAAACAACGCATATGCGTTCAGAAAAATTCACCCTCACCCCCTCACCTGTAGATTATGTTGATGGTTACCATGATGATGGATGAGAATCCAAAAGAGACCAGATGGCAACTTCCACACATCACTCCAGAGGCGTAACCCATTCCTCCTCTTCACAGTCTGTGACCGCAGACCACTGCCTTGGTCTGTATTTCCCATTACCATACCTATAACAAAGAAATATGTCCTGAAAGCTGAATCACAGGAAGAAGAAAATGTTGACCACATAGCATTTTTGATAACTGTTTTGTAACCACCTGAGCTTTGACACGTTGTGGTCTTTGGCATTAGTTTTTGCAAACAGCGAATGCATTTACTACACTTTGGTCCCATAGACATCCATGCAAGATGTACACCCACATAGGGCCTCAGCTGAGGTTTGACAGCACACGGTTGGAGAGAGGCTGAGCACAAATGGGCTGTGACAGAGTATATACAGACTTATTTCCACTTATCTCAAGACTTAGGTTAAAAGTGGTTCCAAGTATAAATTCATATGCGTGAAGGTGTGCACAGTAGGTCTTATACTGTAATACTCACACTCAGCAGACACAGCTAAGCCAACCATAACCCCCCGGCTTCCCGGTCAGAAAGCGCCCCTGCTTGTCTCTCTTTCTTGGTTCATTTCTCCATGTTACTCCCTTCTCTGCGTGATATCACTCACACTGAAACTTCAGTTCTCTGACGAAATCCAAAAAGTGCATTTATGTGTCTTGCAAAGATTACTCACTCCAGTTATATCATGTAGTGTAATGACTGCTGAAGGAAACAAGTACTGGTACAAAGTATGTCTTACTGGCCATATGATAACCACCTGTGTAAACGCTTGGAGTGCATCATGGCTCGAAAACACTGGATCCTCAGAGTGTTGCTTCTGTTGCTACGGAAGACCAGAGACATGACCTCTTTGCTCTGCAGGTGGTCAGTAGTAGACATACACATAGGCACAGTTTCATGCATAAATGTATGTATCAGTCTATGCATATTTACCCAGTGCTTGATTTTAATATTTTTATTTCCTTTTGTTTTTCTTAAATTATGACAAAGTGCATTTCAGTGCGCATTGCTGTACAATACTTAAAAAGACAAAAATGGAGAGTTTGCATGTGTAATTTAGGAAAGCAGTGGGAGTGCATGTCAATCTCTGCAGGTCAAACAGGAGGCTCCTGTTGAACAGGGTGCATATTGACACAGCATTATCATGAATGAAAATATTTTCTGTGTTCAGTGGGCATGAAAGGAAAGCCACCAGACATTTTGACATGGCCTGTTCAAACAAACATTAGACACCAGTATTCAATCAAAAACACATTCACCCTCGCAGGCTTCTAAAGCAGCAACTAGGAAGGAAGAAGGTATTTAGTGATGTGAAAACAGGCAAAAAAAATGTGACCATGAATGTTGCCATCCTTGCAATCTGATGCATTCACAGACTGCAGACATTGCAGACCAAATATCTCTGCAGTGCACTACATACTGAATAAAAATTTCAGGTATTGGTTGAATCCCAGGGACACGTGTAAGAGGACAGAATTTCAATGGAGCTGGTAAGAAAGTAGCTGCTGTTGTTAATATGTGCAGGGGTGCTGCTTTGATGGGCCCTGGGTAAAAAGCTAACAGTGAAACTGGATTCGCACAAATAGCAACATCGAGGGCTGAAATGAAACACACAAATCAAGAAAACGTAAGGGAAGCAGGGACACACTGAATGAGGATAGTACAAAAAATAAAAAAGCAGTGCAGACAGAGGTTATTTGAGCTTTTATTGTTTCTGGATTGAGGCATATTCCTGACTGATTACTGCTGTTAGACAGGGTAGAGGAATTAGAGACCCATTCAGTCAATGATGGGATAATGTAAGCAAAAGAATGCATTGCCAGACTATCTACATTAGACTCTTTAAATAGCTATTAATCTTAGGCACTGGCTTAAGAGATCGGAAATGAAAATGTTCTGCAGAAGCTTTCATCTGGAGGCAGAGCTAAAATATGTTCTTGCATTAATGCCTGGGTTCAAACTGATGAAACTCTGAGTCACAGTCAATCTGACGGTGCCAGCTCCGGGAACTTTGACGATGAACAGTTGTCTCACGCTCAACAACAGATGAGAGTCTATAATTGCACCAGGCAATGAAATAACAGAGATAGTATATGTTACAAGACCTCCATATACATACAAAGTCCTTCTGTTCTGCAGGGAACAGGTGCAACGTGGGAGTGTAGTCATGATATCCTAGGGTGGTGAAGGGGCGTGGGGTTGCTGGTGCAGCTGCCACGTACAGCCTAATGCAATCATTTCTGTGACTGCATGTCTTTTAATTGCTATTTGTTGATGAGGACATTTTCATAGAATCTGTAATGTTAACACTACTGTATGTGCTCTTTTCAAGCTTTCTTTCTAATTATTAAGTCACATTTGTTTGTTTTGCACTCCCCTTTTTGCTGCTGTTAATTGACTCGGGGATCTCAATTATGAATGAGTACTGTCACTGGGAAATGTTCTCATTAAATCCCTGCTTCACAAATAGAAAAGCAATGCAAAGCAGACACAGATTTGAGAATAACAAAACAAATTTTTTTTTCTGTAGTGACTGATGGGTTACTTGGGGTGCTAAGCATGGATCAGCACGACTTAATGTTGATGTCAACACACAGCCATGAGAAAGAACAGAGAAAAACAGATGTATTTCAGAGAGGTTCACAGAAGACAGATATAGATCTGCTCCAGTGGATTGACGTCTATGTTATTTTCTTGAAGGGTATCTGCAGATTCAGTAATGACTCCAATCTCTTCTTGTGCTTATTTTTGCGTGTTTCAGTAAGTTTTTGCATGTGTTTGCAAAACATGTTCAGTCAATCTTTTCTACAATGCTGACAAGACCTGGATACCTCATCTTAAACACCGTAACAGATACACAAGGGCTGCGGGAACCTGGGATAGAAATTAACTTTAGACAGACTACAGAAACAAAAGTCCTGGTAGGATAAATCAGAGAAGACGGTGCAGCATACACTAATAACAAGGTTTTAATGAACTGATGAGTTTGAATGATGGGGAGGAAGATAAAAAGAAAGAGAACCTAAGCAAGAAAGGAAAAATCTTCATGAAAGCAACCTTGTACATGGAAACCCATGGTAACAGTGGTAATGACTATCCACATGGAAACAAGCACAAAGAGGGAAATAATTGAAAATGAAAAGAAGTGCCAGTTAACCTTGGCTGTGGTCCATATTAATGCAGAAGGGGCAGGAGCAAAAAGAAGGTAGTGAAGGAGTAGAGCAAGGGTAGAGAAGAAGTGGGGGTAGTCTGTAGAGTGACATTAGAGGAGGGGAAGTCTGCCTGGGAGACACACTGCACTTAATCCAGCTGCCTGGGAGGGAAAAACAGATCCTGAGGCAGTTTAGAGGAAGGAGCGGGCAATTTTCAGCCCTTCTATCTGATACAAACTCAGTCCATTTCTAACCACACACACAGGCTTTTACTCAAACACACCACACTGTGGCAGGTGGCCTCTGCCCAGATCAGTAGCTGTGGTAGAAACCATCTGAAGTGACTGACAGAGGTTTCAACTGAGGTTTGGAGCCTCCCTGACTGAGCGTGAGCAGAGTTAGGAGCTGGAGCTTCACTTTCTTTCCTAGTGCAGAGAGACCGCACGTCAGGCACGAGGCTCTCCACTCCTCCCCTCTTCTACTCATCCTTTGCTTGGGCTCTCGTCCAGAGAATGACTGGCTCCAGTGGACCCAAGAGGAGGAACACAGACTGAAGACAGAGCACACCAGCTCCAGCTCCAGATCTGCCAGTCTGCCCTCCTACTGGGATAGACTTATACACTGAGGTTTTACAAATTAGCATCTACACCTTTGTGGGATTCATAGATCTGATTTTTTTCTACCTTCTTTTCATTCATCACATCAGAAAGAGTGGATCTAAGCTGTTCATACAGACAGACAAAAAAAACAGACGGACTGACATATGGACAGAGGACAGTGAGCACTGCGGCGTGAATGTAGCAAGTGGACTTCTCTTCTCCCTGGTTACTAAAACCAAACAAGGATAATACCCAAAGCACTACCCTGTCCACAGAGGTAGTGGGTGGATGCAGCTTTCAGTCGACTGCTATAGGGGAAAGCAGAGGCTATATAGAAGCTGCAGAGATACACTGAGCCAATTCACATTGTTTTGATCATTAGAAAATGGACTGCTACCTCCAAGCAAGCTCTTGTTGGATTGTTATATTAAAGATTGTATCTTACTGAACAGTATTTGCAGAACGCTGCTGAGCAAACACCTGTGGGCAATTTCTTTTTTTCCGAAGACCTAGGAGGCTACGTTGAGACTCTGGACTTGCATGGCTTCTAAATAGGCAAATGTAGAATGTGTATATCAATGATGATGGTAGAGTGCATACGGACTGTGTATCTCTCGCTGATGCTGCTGTATATTGCTCTGCTGGGCATGACACACACAGCACACAGCATCAACCCAAGGATACGTCTCTCCAACAAAGGTAAGAAATATCTAATGTGTGTTTCTTTTCATTTATTTTGTCAATAAATATTTATATAGCATGCTTTAAAATGCTCCCTGTGCTTCATTAATATAGAGACAATCTGATTTGTCAAAAATTAGTCAGCGCACTTTGATTTTTCTGCACAGACTAATAACTGGAAATTGGAAATCAGACAGGTATAATGCAAAATCATTGTCCATACTTAATAGACTTCTGTTCTCTGCCAGTAGTCACTGCAGCATAGTTGATGACTGCACTAAAAATTTAATAGCTAATATTAGTTTTTATACATTTTTAAAGCATTATAGTTTAAGCTTAAGTTATACATAAGCAATGAAATGATGCATCAAATGCTCAGTGAAAAAATAGTGAAGTTAAAAAAAGTGCTATTTTTTGGACGTGAGTTCAGGATGCTGTTAGTTATCATTACCGTGTAATGAGATGTTTATTGAAGATTTATGTTTTAACCTGGCACTGTGCAGCCTTGGCTCAGGGAAGACTTTGGGAAGTGCACCCTTTTTTTCACCCAGTGTTGATATTTAAGGAGCCTCCTTGTAGTTTGTTTTGGTGCCCCAGCCATGGTGGTTGAGAATCTAAAATGTGGCTTTCTCTCATGCTATACTGGTGGTGTGAAGGAAACGTTGTTTATTTCTTTTCTTGGTGCGCGGGAATGTGCGTGCGTGCGTGCACGTGCCAGTTAAAGTGTGTGTGGGAGTTTGCGATGCCCTGGTATGTAGACTGATTTTTGTGTATCTCTTAGACAATAATGAGGGTTTTATCTTTGCAGATAAAACTCTTGAGTAAACACTGGCCTTTTCTCACAGTTTCTTTGATCTCTACAGCAACAGAAGGTGATGATTTCACATAAGCCTGTTAGTCATGGTTGAAAATAGGTGTGGAATTTGGATGGTCAATAACTCAAAAATACGTGTTTGGACTCAGTTATGAAAGCTGACAAGTCTGGTTCATCAGTAAGAGGGTGTGCTGTTTTATGATATGTACTGCATGCGTTATTTTTCTCGTCTTTCCTCATGTGTCAGCAATAGCACAATAACTTACAATGAAAAGTAAGGCAAAGTTCGCACCAAAACAAATGTTAGAAAATCACCACTGATGTGCTTAGTCACAAAAAGTAGGTATTAATTATCATTGTTACTTTCGGTTTATTAAATACCCAAGGGGACGAGCTGAGACACTCACTGACATACCACCTAGCACTCTTTCTTCCTCTCTCTCTCTCTCGCTACATGCTCTGGCTAGCACAGGGGAGCTTGAAATGGCTGCAGTTGGATCCTATCATTATGGAATGAAAAACATCTAAGTCCTAATTTATGCCTCATGGGCTGTTCTGTCAGTGATTTTTTGCACACACCCTAAACTCACATATATGCATAAACAAAGAGAGACACATGTACAGGCGAAATAAATTCTGTAAATTCTTCACACGCTGAGAATTTGAATGCAGTTCAGGAAGATGGAAAGAGATGGATGTGGTTTTACTCACCTACTCCTAGAAGTATGACCATATTATCATAACATTTGGTATCAAAGCAGGTTAGAAAAACAAAATTCTACTATTTAAGCGAAGGTTTAATAATGGGAAAGAAAATATTCTAATATCAATAATGAAATACTTGTATTCTGCTTTTGGTTAGATGGGCCGATCCATGATGTGGGATCAATAGAAAGCTCAATAAATGAAGAGGTCAAATTTCCAGACTTTGTGAGATTGAATTCCCCTGGACCCATTACCATGTGTTTTAAAGATGGCATTACTGCCATACAGTATGGACCTCTCTGCGCTTTTATGTGAGCCATACTTTGCACGTTATATGGAAGAATTATTCACTATTTCTTTTATTTTGATCTTTTCCCAATGTTCTTTTCGAGACTTCTGTTCCATTGAAGACTTCTTTAAATGCATTTAAATTCACTTTAATCCCACTCATTCTTTCATGTGCTTACACATCCAGTTAAATCCGAGCTGTTACCTAAATCATATGGTGTATCGAGTTACAAACACAGACTCTGCGCTGTTTGACCGTAATCTTCTGCTGCAAAGATTTAAAAGACTTTAAAAATAACACAAAGATGTTAATGCATCTCAAATGCTTGGGCTTTTGCCCAATAAAACTCCCTATAGCACAGAAAGCCCCCATTAGCGAGATATGCTGACCATAAAACAAAAATAAAAAGATACTGTTTGTTTTGAAAATTTCGGACCATGCAGTTTGGATTTGCATCATTCATGGTGCTTGGCAGCAGGTTGTTTTTTCAGCTCTCCAGGACTGTGAAGTGAAATGAGCTCTTCCTTTAGGACAGCCATCAATTTTGCTGCTAATGAAGCTGTTGCACAGCTAGCATGTTGACAGGCGGCAGATAGGTGGTCAGACTTAGATGTATTTTGCTTCTTCCTCAGCACTTTCATCATACTTGGCCTAAGCTGCCGAGAGTTTGATGCAGCAGATTTCATAGTTTGCATAGTTCTAATGACCCAGCTGGAAAAAAAAAGTCACACCCAGAAACTTGTGCGTTTAATTTATGAACAAATTGGAACAATAAATAGCTTTTTTAACAAAGCTAAAACACCACTTTCTCCTGCCACATAATAGATACCTACACAGAACAGTAAAAAAAAAAGGAAGAAAAATAATGATCATTTTAAAATAATTAAATTGACCAGGAATTTCCTCAGTCATCTGCCAAGGACACATTTTCACTAAAGCTGTAAGCATTTAGTAACAAAAATATTTTAATGCAGCGAGTCAGTAAAGGGGAAAAAGGTGTTCTGGCAAGGTTAAAATCATACTGCATATGACTGCTTTTATAAATAAACAGATACACTTTCTTTATTATGTCCAATTGGAAACTTTAAGAGAAAGAAAGTTAAAAAAAAACAAAACAAAAAACAACAACTTGTGAGCCTAATTTTATCATTTACTATTTCTTTCACATGAGTGAGCAAAACATGCTTTTTATTTTTTTAAAAAAGTAGGTATAGATAAGTAAATACACTGGTTGAGAAATGCAAAGCTTGTGCTTAGCATTGCCTTTCTTCAGTAGAAACTGTAAAACTGTGTGATTTGAGCAGAGGCAGCTGAGGTGCAAGCATCTGTGTGAGCACAGGTAGCAATTACTCATGTCCTTTGAAACTATAATTTTAGAGGTGCCACTCCAGACAAGAAAAAGCTCTTTCTGTGTACTTTACAATCTTGAAATAATGAATATGTGGGTGACTTTCATCTGGGGCTAAGATGGAAAACACCAGTGTGACTCTAGATGTGTTTGCCTCAAAAGAAATGGGGATTTTTGCTTCTTGTTTTTTCTACTTACATATAATATGTTAAGTGAGGAGTCCCATTATGTTTCTTGCCTCTGTATGTGAAGAGGCCTATAATTAGCATTTACCACACTGCATCGCGGTCACAGCGCAAGTCATACTGTAGACCTTAAATCAAACAGCTAGAAAATGAAGGGAATGGTGGCGTAAATCACACCTTTTAGGCTAGCACAGGAAAAGGGATCATCTTTCAGCCGTCTCCAGTCGCCTCTACAATCACCCTTCTCATATTCTCATTTTGTGTGTGTGTACATCTCACCATCATTTTTTTCACCCATTGTGTTATGTATGTGTTCTCTGGTTCATTAATGAGATGTCCAGAGGGGAAGGCAGCTGGTGAAACTCTAATATCCTTTCTGACCTTTTTGCAGTGAAGCGAGCATGAAGACTAGGTGAGTTACGTTTGTAACAGAGAAGCATAGATAAGACAAAAATGGTTTGCCTCTGTAGAGTCTAAGCTGCAATGATATTACAAGGGAGGAGGATGAAGGATGGCAAAAGTGATGGATTCATTGTGGATATTGTTTGTTGTAGGCTGGTGCGTCAAATAGAGTAAATAACAGGAAAGGTCTCTGTTATTTCACTCTGCCAGCTTTGGGGGGAAAATAAGAAGAGAGGAGAACTGTAATAAATGCTTTCACACAATATTGATCCAAAATGTTTTTAATGTCCCCAGCTAATTATATGCAGCTAATTATGTTCAAAAGAGTGAGTCTCCACAGCCATCTGTAAAGCACATTGGATGATCTGTCATGGTTTGGGGATGCATTTCAGCCAGTGGTGTTGGAGAGCTTAGCAAATTTTGCAACACAACCTTGAAAAAAGTCTTGGAAAAACTCTTTTTTCCTTATACACCACATATCCAGTATGATTCAATAAATCGCTAGTGTGGCTAAAGACTTGTGGACAGTACTGCATTCACCGTGCTGGAGTTGACATTGAAATCAGTTTAAACATTCTGGTCCTTTAACATACAGCGCCGATATACATCAAGTTATCCAGTAAGTCCTTCATTTTTATCTCAGAAGCCACATAGCCTACTTCATATATGACTGAAGGAGTAACAGATGGGGACAGGCTTTAATTACATGTCAGTCAAAGACAGCACAGTGATATATTCACAAACCTTGCAAAGAGATGAAGTACGTATGAGGTGTATGTATCTGCTTGCCTTTTGATGTGGTTTTTAGGTCTTATCTTAATTTATAACTTTATTCAGGAAACATACTTGCACTCCTGTCATTACAGAGAAGCACACTCTGTCTCACCCTCCACAGACACACCATGTGGGTTTCATTTTGCTCTGTGACATCATTCCCCCTCACACAAGGGAATATAGAAACACAAGGCTGTATACCGATAATGGCATAACACCACAGTTCTTCTGCTCCTGACCCCACCCCCAGGAGTTCTGCAGTCTCACTCAGGCTTTCAGGAGAACAGACCCCCTTCTCATTTTTTTTTTTACCCTTTAACAGTTCACTTCAATAATTCTCTTTGTTTCTGTTCCCGCACAAGTCCCATTACTCAGTGTAACATGCGTAAGCTTATTTTGCTGGAAATATGAGCCTGTCTACCTCAAGTTTAGGTTAAATGTGTGCTTAGTCCTCGGCAATATACAAAATTATGATAGATACTTTAATTTGTGTTTTTAAGTTTCCAGGGGAATGTTCTTTTTTTTCCTCCATGATCTCCTGTGTGCAGTTACCTTGGTTTATGTGGCCATAGATGAAATGCTGCTAAAGTACTGCTGCACACTTGGAGACACACTCATACACATACTGTATCCCCTCATACAGCAAAACAGTATTTCCATACATGGATAAAAAAGAGATGACAAAGTTTATTTTGATTTCATCACATTAAATCTCCTTAAACATCTATCAGCACTCCCCAGACAACGGATGAAAGTGTGCGCCTTGTGGGAGTCCATTTTCTTTGTGTCTGTCATTTGAAGTGGGATCACAGGAGGGCCATGTGTCTCTTTGGCAAAGTTGCTGGTAGAGAAACACCCTCTTCCTCCTTCCAACTACTTAGCTGTTGGCTAAGGAGCTGTCACTGGCTGCAGATGGTGAGAGAGCGAGAGAGAGACAGAGAGAAGTGTGGAGAATTGTGGAAATCCCCCCATTCCTTTATTCAGCCAGTGGGGTGGCATGCACTTATAATGACAGAGGAGAAATCTTTAAACGACTCCTCTGAAACATCTTTCAGTGCATCTGTATAATCAGAAGATCCACTGATTGTATTTTTGTAACTTCAACTGTAATTATAACATTTTTTATATGTGATTATAGCTTTTTAGAACTTGCATTTTTGCATTTCCTTTTCTTTTTCTTTCTTCAAATGAACATTGCTTACTGTAAAAACATTCCAGTTCAAAAGAGGTGAACACCATATATCTACAATGTAACAAACAAATCTACACAATTAAATGTAAGTTTATTTGCAGTTTTTCTTGTGTGTGTGTGAGAAAGAGACTCCTACAGGTCTATCTTAGTGCCTTGTTATGTGCATGTGTCCATATAAATCAGCTGCAACTCATCTTTATTGACATAGACAAGTGAAAAGCAGATCGAAAAATGGGTTTGACTTACACACTGTTTATTCCATCAGTTTAAATTGCCCTGTAAGTCAGTCATCTAAGTGAGTAGCTGCATATATGACATCACAAGAAAAAAGAAAGAGCTGATTGAAAGCCAGTGTTAGAGGATTGTGCTCAATGCAAGTCCAGCTTAGCACAGAGGGATCAAGGAGATAAAAAAATCTGCATGTGAGTGACAAAAAAACTGAAAGAAGTCTGTGTATGTGTGGTGGGGGCTGTCTGTATGTGTATGTGTGTGGATTAGATAATTACAGGAAGCATGTCTGAGCCTTGGCAGAACACCACTGCCACTCTCCGTCTCTGCCACCTAACCACCAAAGATTTAATTCTACTCAAACAAACTGTCACTTGTCTCCAACGCAGAAATCGTAATAGCAACAAAACATACACAATCACCCATTCCTCTGTGGATACCTAATCCTATTTTAAACAAATAAAACTTTCCACCGAGTGGAGTACTGTTGCCAAGAGTGATCTGCAAAATAGGATAAACACTCTCTCCGCCTATCTTGGAGATCGAGTATCACTAAAAATATACAGTGCCTAGAAAAACAAATCATACAATTACCCCCTGCAGCCGTGGCACGTAGAGGCACCTCAGCATTGTTTTAAATAGTCCAAAGGCTGGTACAGTAATATGATTAAGTAGGTTATTATTTTTTTTCTCTTCTTTCAAAAGGAGTTTGATGTACAGTGTGAAGATGAACTACCATTTTAATGAAAACTAGGACGAATAAATGGTTGTTTTTGTTATTTTCACAAATTCTAGCTTGTCTGGTTGGCTTGACCTAAGGTCTCAAAAGCACCATTAACACACACCAGATCCCCTTTCTTCCTTTACGAGGGCACCTAGCCCAACCAATCATGTGTTAATGAAAGGTTTTTCAGGCCAGTGGAACCCAGAGGAAGTGCATGCCTCTGGAAGTCTGGGACTTAGTTTAAATCCCTCTCCCTCAGTCTTTCATGAAGATTACAGAGAGCAGGTATGGTGGGGCAGCCTGCCAAGCTCAATCTCAGGTGTGCATGTGCATGGGTGGTATTTGTGATGCAAACCATGTTTGCTGGTGCGTTTATGTTTATATAAAATGACATGCATGTGATGGTCCACTGCCTCCTTTTTAGAATAAGATTTCAAATCACCTAAAGTAAAATTGACAGGGAGTGGCAGCTCATCTAAACTAATGGCTGATAAGGAGCCAGTTCGCTTTCCTGTCTGACAAAACTGCTTCCTCTCAGTACAAGAAACCATAGCCTAGCGCAACTCAAACGACCCTTCTATTATACAAAAGATTACTTCCTGAATCGTTTCAGTTTTTTTGCATTTTCAAGATGTAGCTAAAAAGAGTCATCTTCTAAGAAATCACTTATTTGTCATTTCTTTCAGATTTAGGGATGATAACCACTGTTGAAGTGAGATATAGGTATCACTGAGAAGGGAGACATAAGATGGAAAGATAACCTTTGCTGTCTGTGATTCTCATGGTGTTGGTATGAATCAAAAACACATGTTGCAATATGACCTTGGCCACTTGAGCAGTTGCGCTTTAGGCACAGGTTTCTAGAGTTGTTAGAAATCTCTTGAGGAAGGGTGTCTGGCTGAAATTGACTTTCACTACAGTCAAAAAGCTACATACATGTAAAGTATATCTAAATGTGTGCTGTGTTTATTATTGTAATCAATTTATTTGTATTGTCTATATAGAGCTTTGGCAGCTGAACAGGACTTGGGTGTTCCAGAAACATGGAGTGTCACTTCAACCCCAGACCATGCTGCTGGATGAGGGCCACGAGAGGCTTTATGTTGGTGCCAAGAATGCTCTGTTCTCTCTTAGCCTGGACCAGGTTAACACACACCATGCAGAGGTGAGTCTGGTATATTTCCTTCCTGTCAGCAACTGCGATATTTAGACCCATAAGTCTATAGACTAGCCAAAATGAATGTAAACGCTTCTTTATCCAGCATGGGTTCAAAATGATGAGCTAAATATGGAAATGAATAAATAAAGAGGAAGTTTTTTAAAACTTACTGAAGAGATACATAACAACAGGCACTGTAAGGTTAAGGGGTGAACACAAAAACAGATAAATTATTTAAAAGTTGGAAATAAACTTATCTATAGAGACAGGAGGAGAGTGGGAGAAAGGCTAATTGGGAACATTTGGAAACGATTCGAGAATCACAGAGGCGGCGATAAGAATGAGACAGGATGCAACTAACACATCCTCCCTTTCTCATTTCTGAGTTTCTACATCCTCACCTCACATTGTCTGATGAGATGCGAGCAGAGGAGACAAAGAAGAGAGGAAGTGAAACAACAGGCATTTAACATAACGAGACAGCCTCGCTTCAGGGCCTTATTTTAAAGCAATGTCAATTAAATATGAAGTTTGGCACAACTGCAATGCTTAGGCATCAATAAATTGTTTTGTTATAACTTAACTTCTGCTAGTTTTAATTATAGTCACAGAATGGCACAATATGACAATATAAAGCTCAGTAAGAAGAGATCAATTGGAAGAACTGAACATGATTTACTGAGATAGACAAATGAATGTATTTTGCGATTACACTCAGATGACCCATCATGCCAGAATGGAATCCCAGCTGTGATAGGACTTAGAACAGGACCCCTGAAGTCTAGACGCTGGTGGTGGTGAACAGAGATGGGCAGTAACGCGTTACATGTAACGCGTTACTGC